TGACCAACTTTCACAATTATTTACTGTGTTTTAAAGTCTTGCACCATTGAATAGCTGTTTTTTTTTTCTTTTAGGACATGGCTCTCCTCAGAGAGTGTGCTCATATTCATTTTCTAAGTGGCTCTGCCCTTCTTGAAGTTCTTCTATGATTTGATATACACTGACGTGAGCATTCACCCACTAAATTTTTCCATCTTTTGTGCCATGTTTCTACGTTGTTTTGGGTACGTGGAAATCCATTCCACATGCACTCATATACAGACCAAAAATTTGGTGGAAAGAATACTAGTGATAGAACAGCAACACCGTTTCTTAAGTGTCGTCTTATCCTACCATGCACATAATTATTTTCAAACCAGTTAGTTACTTCACTGGCTTTTTCAGGCAAATGCGGCTTTAATTCATTAGAAGCTCCTGGAATGTCATCAACTGGAAGGAATGCCAATGCAGGCAAATGACGCATTTTTTAACTCAAGTTTTCGTCATTGCCTTGTTGTATGGCCAATCCACTGATCAGAATATTTTGCCAAATGTATTGCACTAAATGGAAAAAGAAAACAAACTTTATTGGTAACACCTTGAAATTCAGTTTTATAAGCCTTATTTGTACCTAATTCCAAAGTTATCACTATGGTTTGGGGATTCAATTAAAATCCATTTTCTTCTGCATAACGACAATAACAAGATACTGTTTTTACCTAACATGATGCAACTATCTTGTGATTGTGATTTTCAGGACTTTAGATGTTAAGGATTTTAGAATTTAGGGATTTAGACTTTAAAGATTTTGATCTTTCAGGATTTCAGCATTTGGGATTACGGCATTCAGGATTGTGTCTTTAATGATTATAATCCAAGCCCATCTGAGATCCAGGTGTTGGAAAGTTTGGTTTCTTTTGAGGCTTATATTCTTGGCCTGTAGACAGATGGCTATCTTCCCCTTGTGTCTTCACATGGTCTTCCCTCTGTGTATGTCTGTGTCTTAATCTCCGCTTATGAGGACACCAATTGCATTGGGTTAGGGTCCATTCTAAGGACACCATCTTAATTTAACCACCTCTTTAAAAGCCCTTTCTCCAAACACAGTCACATTCTGAGCTACTGAGGGTTAGGACTTCAACATATGAATTTGGAGGGAATGCAATTCAGCCCACAACAGCCTAATAGTTTATTTTTTTAAATAGAAGCTATTTTTTTCTTCTCTGAAATCTTGTAATCACACAACAGCATGATTCATGAGTGTTCGAAGTCCACAAGAAGTATCAGAAATCTTCAGATAAAGAGGAAGAGCCTGGATTTGAGGTCAGGAGACCTGGGCTGTAGACATCACTCACTCATTGATGAGCACACTTAGTTTCTCTGAATCTCAGTGTTTTCATTTCTAAAAAAAGATGTGAATATTACATACACTAATATATAGGAAAGCATTTGGTATACACTAAGTACATCTTATCAATTGATGGAGATGTCATCAGTTATAAGATATACCATTGTGTTGCATGTACCAAAAGTGGCAAAATCATGCCAGGGTAGATTTTAAAATTACAGATTCAGGAGCCCCATCCTGAGATTCATTGAATTTGAAGCTCCTGGGATGCAGTTCAAGGATTGTCATTTTTTAAATTTCCCATGTTACTCTGACTATCAGAGAGGCTCAGAAGCCATGGCTTTCAGCGTACTGTCAGTCAATGTGTGGAACAACCCAAATTTTATTTCTGAACTGCAATCTTTGGAGCTATTTATCAGTTTCTTAGATAGGAAGCTTGCATTTTGGCCTTTGCCAACAAAAACTCATTGCCCAAATTCTCTACATTTTCTAACACATTCATTGAATTCCAGAAACTCTCACTCAGGAGTTGCATAAAATAAATACTTTGGGTAGAACATGTAAACCAAACCTGTTCCAGTGGTGGGAATGCTGTAGCGTTTACTCTCAGCAGCTAGCTCTCTGACCTCTTTCTCTTACTTTAACCCGAGGGTGTTGAGCCCACCTCAGTCATCTACACTTTTATGATTCTAAACGACATACTGTTAGTTCCTTGTATGCATTTTTAACCATTTTTGTCAAACTTTAAAAAAAAACCCAGTTAAATCCCTTTAAAAACTATTTTTCTGGCCAGGCACGGTGGCTCACACCTGTAATCCTAGCACTCTGGGAGGCTGAGGCGGGCGGATTGTTTGAGCTCAGGAGTTCGAGACCAGCCTGAGCAAGAGCGAGACCCCGTCTCTACTAAAAATAGAAAGAAATTAATTAGACAACTAAAACTATATAGAAAAAATTAGCCGGGCATGGTGGTGCATGCCTGTAGTCCCAGCTACTCGGGAGGCTGAGGCAATAGGATCGCTTGAGCCCAGGAGTTTGAGGTTGCTGTGAGCTAGGATGACGCCACGGCACTCTGAGACTCTGTCTCAAAGCAAAAAAAAAAAACTATTTTTCTGAATATCTACAGTTGAATTCCTAGGGATGGTAACACTATTATGACCACAGGAAAAGCAAGTGTGAAGATTACGAGGGCTACTCGGAGCTCTTTGACCCTCCTTACAGCTCTAGCACCGCCGAGCCACCTCCTCAGCAGTACCGCCCACAGCCTTCGCACCCACGTTTACATGCTCCCTGATCGCAACTGAGTCCAGTTCCCCGATGCCCCCTCCCTCCACTCCTACACCCCCACTTAAGAAAATGGTGACACACAGGTGAGTCCACAGATGCTGAGCGCAATTCTCCTGCTCCCAGACCAACGTCCCTTCTATGCTTCCCACCCCTCATGACCCCGTGATCTGTTAATGACACTTCAGGGCGTTTTTATCAAAAGCATAGGAAGATACGCAGTCCAACCCAATGGAAAACTGTTCTGAATCGCACCCAGATCACTCACTAAGCTACGTAGTTCCTGTTTTTATGCAGAGCTCATCTGAGCCTTGGCTAACTCCCAGGGAAGCACACATATCAGATCTGCTGTATATTGGCAGAACTTTGGCTTAGAACATATTTCAAATGCCTCCAATTGAACATTGGCAGCCTTGAAAAAACATGGCCAGGAAATTATTCTAGGAGGCCTAATTGCTCTGTGACACTTCACAAGAGAAGCTGATGGCTTTCTCACCCAAGCTCTTCCCTCTGTGCCCAGAACAAATGACTGAATTTTCCAATATATTCCCCAAATTAGGAAAGGGCAAGCTTAGTGGCAGCGTGAATCAAGGGAATGTCTTTACTGGGCAGGGCCCGCTTCCCAGCACAGTATGAATTTCCCTAGTTCTTTTTCTCCTTTAGTTTTAAAGCCCTTGTGTATTCCAAGAGAAATGTAGTCCATGTGTTTCTGATTCATTTACACTTAAGTCATTAAAATGTTGTTTTGCGAGAGTTATTTGATGTGTGAGGAGCCTGTGAGTCTTCTTAATGGGAATTTTAAAGGCTTTTTTCCTATTCTCCCTGAAACAGAAAACAACATTTTGCTGAAATAGTGCCGGAGTTCAAACATACTCTCTCCTCTCATATACTTGCAGCCGCATTATCAACCACAGCCTCTTACTAATGCCAAACTTGGCAAGGTTGACATTCAAAAGTGTTAAAACAGAGAGAAAATGGAGCAAAAATTCCAGCAAGAGTCAAGCCACTTCTCCCCAAAATGTGCCAAGGGAGGATTATCTGAGGTTGGAGGGTGCGCGTGTTTGCCGCTTTGGTTAGAGTGACTGGTGACCATCTCCCTGGTATCCCACTGGACAACTAAGAAAGCACTTCCACAAGCATAATCTCATTAAGCCTCATAATAATGCCCATTTGCCAAATGAAGGAACAGGATCAGATATGTTACTCATTGTGCCCAAAATGCACAGCCAGCTCAGGTTAGGTAGAAAGGAAAGATTACGGATAAATTCTGACTCAGAGTCTAATGCTCTTTCAAAATGACTCAAATTGAGTTTCTGTGAATGGGGTGTGTGTGTGTGTGTGTGTGTGTGTGTGTGTTTGAAATTCCGTATGCATTATAATACATCAGTGAGAGGCAATATAATATAGTATAAATTTGAGGCTAAGACCTCAAATTTTTCCTCCATCAGCTTTCTAGCTGTGTAAAACTCACCCTCTCTGGGAAGTTTCTTCATCTGGAAAATGGGGATCATATTATTACCCACCTAAACAAGATATAAAAATGACTGAAAAGAATTAATACATTAAGCAGGTCAATAACTGTTAGCTATTAGTGGTAGTAGCAGTGGGGAATAATAAATAATTGGATAATCTTTGCAAATTGGATAATCTCTCTGAGCCTCAGTTTTCTAATTTCTGAAATGAGCATAATAGCAGGACCCTCACAGGGTTGTGATAGTAATTGAGATGATGCGTGTGCCTAGCACTGTGTCTAATGCAGAAAAGATGCAAAGTCAAACCTACTTTTTACACCCAGACATGTCTCCCTCTATTCAGTGTTGATTGTTAATGGTGTGAAGGGGTGATTTTCTTACTATTCAGCTCAGCTTAGATCCAGTGTTGATTTCTTCTGAGTATAGATATGTATAAAGGTACAAGTCTTTGTACACCTATTGGGTACCCGGCTTTCCTGCAGTGACGGGCCCTCTCTGGGCTGGATTAGACCCCTGCACACTCTGAACTGGTAAACAGCGCCGCAAGTATTGCTTTTAAGCAGGAAAGAGCAAGTAGCCAACTGCAGGACGTAGAGCTCCCTCACATTCTGGGCCAGAGGCTCTGTTCTCAAGAAAACCTGTAGTTGGTTGCAGACAAAAGCTTTGGGATTTCGATCTTTTTTTCCTCCTAGTGTAGATGTTAGAATTGCCTTCTTAGTTGGTTGTTTCTGTTTAATTGCAGTTCTTTTCCTGAAGAAGAGCAGAAAATTATAGCCATCAGGCAAGGGAGACTGAAGAGAAATTAGACTTTGTCCGCCTCTTCTCTCTCTCTCTCTCTCTCTCCCTCCACACACACATACACACACACACACACACACACACACACACACATACAGTGATACAAATACCTATTTGAGCCTCCCAGTTATTTTCTCTCAAGAGCTGGAGTCAGCCACACCGGATACAGGAGGGAACTAAAGGAGCAGATCTTTTAAGGAAGAAGACAGATTCTTTTCCATCAGGTTCCTCGGAGTGTGTGTAAGAGCAAGTCAGAGCAGAGAGAGAGGAGAGAGGAAAAGCCAGAGGGAGAGAGGGGGAGAGGGGATCTGTTGCAGGCAGGGGAAGGCGTGACCTGAATGGAGAATGCCAGCCAATTCCAGAGACACACAGGGACCTCAGAACAAAGATAAGGCATCGCTGACACCACACCGGGGACGAGCTCACAGACAAGTCGGGCCAGGAAGACCAAGGCCAGGCAGCCGGGAGCACCCAGGGCAGGAAAATGAGGTGAGTGCCAGGGAAGGAGAGGGCACAGTGCCCTTTGGGGGACCAGCTGTCAAGTAGCAAGGAGGGTTTGACCTTGTCTCTGGACAGACTCACCTGCATGTCCCGTGGGTGGTGGTGAGGGGATTTCTCATCAATTCTTGGGGCTCTGAGAAGGGAGCCGTGGGCGGGCTGGGCGCCTTCCTTGGGACTCTGGAGACATGCAACTTGAGACGGGAGACTTCGTACAAATCCTGCTCGGGACACTGCTGAAGCCCAGATTTCTCCCTCTGCCAGTGCAGGGTGCTGCCTGCTGGCGAATGTGACTCTCCTGCTGTTGCCCACAAGGCTGAGTTTTCATTTTCCTCCTCTGCAAAGAGCATTGATTTGTCTCTCCCAACACTTTGTGAGTTAGGTACATGTTTGCGTGTTTATTTGTTCTGATCAGAAAAGAAACCAACTTACCACAGCTCCGATCTGCGGTTTCTTAAACCTTGACAAGTTTGCCAGTTAAACCTCAATTTAGAAAACTAAAAACCTGTCCCCATTTTATAGTTCCCTATAAATTTCTTCATTTCTCACTGAAATCTGAGGCAGCTGGTGGCACGAATCAGGCTATGAATTGTACCAAATGGCTCTTAAAGAGATACTACAATATTTTTAAAGGGTCTTTTGGAGTTCTGAAACCTGGGACTTTAAATTCTAATTGATTTTAAGCTCCTCAGTCTTTCTTATTTCTCATCTTGCTTGATGCTCCTTACCAGACATTCCTTACAAGTTTTTTTTCTGCAAGTCTGAAAACTCAACCACCCTAGTTATTTATATTATTTATAAGTGTTAATGCTGTTAAACATGCACACACACACACACACACACACACACAACACTCTGCAGATGTGTAAAGTCCCTAAACACCACTTTTCCCATTAATTTTCTTTTTCATTGGGAAAGTGTTTCTATTTGTTTCTCTTCTGCAGTAACCTAGCAACTTTTCTGGGTCTGGGGCCAATGAGGGGCTTCAGACCATGCTACTCTCTGAACTCCAATTACCTGTGGTTCAGAGAGATGATCAGGTCATTACAGTTAATTCAATCATTCTGTTCTTTTTAAATGCATTGTAATTTTAAACCTGCCATCAAACTTCATTTTCCTTTCTCCTGAAAAATATGTGATTTATGTCCATTTACACAGGATGGTGATCTGATTTACCTGTCAACCATCTGAATCCCACCCTACTACTCGATGCTCAGCCATACCGTACTATAGGGCTGAGTAACCATCCTATGTTTTTGCATGTGCTCATCCCTCAACCTGGAACAACCCTCCCCTTCATTTTCTACCTAGGAGACCTGATTGTTCCAACTGGCTCAAATATCACTTTCCCTTTCTTTTTTTTTTGAGACAGAGTCTCACTCTTTTTGCCCGGGCTAGAGTGAGTGCCGTGGTGTCAGCCTAGCTCACAGCAACCTCACACTCCTGGCCTCAAGCGATCCTAATGCCTCAGCCTCCCGAGTAGCTGGGACTACAGGCATGTGCCACCATGCCCGGCTAATTTTTTCTATATATTTTTAGTTGTCCGATTAATTTCTTTCTCTTTTTGGTAGAGACGGGGTCTCGCTCTTGCTCAGGCTGGTCTCGAACTCCTGAGCTCAAAGGATCCGCCCACCTCGGCCTCCCAGAGTGCTAGGATTACAGGCGTGAGCCACCGCGCCCGGCCACTTTCCCTTTCTTGACCACCGTCCTCCGGAGTGAGCATCTCCCCCTTTGTTCTCTCTGTCCTTTGCAGCTGTAATACATCTCTTATCACCTTTGTAATAACTCCTTGTTTAAATGTCCACATCCCCTTACAAGACTGAGCGCTCCTTAAGGTACACGATCTATGTCTTCAGCTTTGTGTGACCAGCACCTAGCATGATGTCTATTTCCTACTAGGCATTCAATGAAAATGGTTGAATTCAATTCAATTGTTGAACAACCAAGCAACTCCTAGAAAAGTGCTCCATTAGAAAAGTCTCTAAAGGGTCTTGCCTCACGTGGATACGGTATTTCAGAGTTTGTAAAGCACTCTCATGGACATTGGTTTTCAGATTTTGGATGAGGTAAGGATGTGTGGATAAATGAGTATAAAAGCAGTTAAGCAACTTGCCCAAAGCCACACTGATGATCTTGAAAAGGCCGAGATTCGAATTTGGGTCTTTGGGCTCCAAGACCAGGATTTTTTCTGCTGTATTCCACTAGACTCTTAACCAAGCGTATTATTCTACGCCGATAGCTCTCACTCCTGGCTACACATGAGAATGACCTGTGGTGCCTTAAAAAGTGCCAATGCCCAGGATTCATCCGAGACCAATTAAACCAGAATCTCTTGGAGAGGGGCTCTGACATTAGTATTTTTAAAATTTCCACATAAAGCCTTGGGTTTTTAAAATTATTTTTCACAGGATTAATTGCTTTGGCCAGATGCCTGGGCATGATATGGGCATGGACCCAGCTTCTTCTGTGAGTTCTTGTACTTCCTTTCTTCTGCTGAAATTAATTCACCATATGGTATTGGGCATGATATGACATCTCTTGGGGTATCCTTTTCATCATCTGTCAAATTAGGGTACGGTGTAAGGGATCTATACAGTCCCTTCCAACTCCTGAATTCAAAAACAGAGTCTTGGTGTTGTGTAGGTTAAAATGAGGACAGTGTGTGGAGAGGAGAGAAAGTGCTATTCATTTCATAGTCATAGATATGTGCAGGCATTTTTATGCATTCAGATAGCCTGCTCCTTCAGTGGAGCCTATGAAATCCCAGCTCTATATATTACTTTTGACATTTTGAGCAAATGTAGCTAAACTTTTTGATTAGCTGGAGGATAGATAGCAGGTGTCAGGAATCGTACAGCCGGTGCCTGGTATACAAGAAGCCAAAAACGTTCAGAGAGTGTGATGAGGAACGAAAGCTGCCACTTATATTCTTCAGTTTACAGCCCCTAAAGCAAGCAAGCAAGCATATGCTCAAGTCCGTTACATGCAAGGAGATATTTGTTTCATATGTTCGAAACCATTTGGAGATGCAAACAAAGTAGAACAGAGAGCTTCCCAGGCCTTCCTCCCACGCTGACCAGTTGCCTACCACACACGGCACTGGGGCTCTGGGCTGGATGGAGCTGTCAGCTGCCAGCCCTTGACAGAACTGGCTTTAGGAGGCTCAGTGTCTCCTCGATGTGCTCTGGAAAAAGCAGGCATGGAGAAAGTTGACCTTTCAGCCTTGCATAATCCGAGTGCTGCTATTGCAGGGAAGTTCAGCTTGGGAGCCAAAGCTCATTCCTAACTCCTGCTTTTCGGGAAGCCGCATGACGGAGTAATCATAACTAATGTTTGCCTAGGGCTGGACAGTTAACAAAGTACTTTCCAATCCTCCTTTACTCTGATAGCAGCCCTGTGGGAAGTCATAATTATTACCACAAAGTGGACGAAGAAACAAGACCTTCCGTGACTTTCCTAAAATGTGTAGGGTAAAAAATCAAAGCCTGGCATTGCATCTAGCTCTTCTGACCCATGACCAATACTCTCCCTCCTCAGCAGGACTGAACCTGAGTTCCCAACTCTGTTAAGATCAATTCATTTCCTCACTTGAAAACGGGGGCGCCTGGGCCCTGCCAGTTACAGTTTCTGGACTCAGCTTTCCTACTAATGCACTGGTCAACTTGGACCCATGTCTTCCCTTTTCTCCCTCTTTGGGGCCCTCCTTCCACAGATTGGTTTTAAAAAATATTGACATTGACTATTGGACTAAAACATTTTGTTTTCTTAATAACAACTCACATGTTGCTATTGTAGGGCTGTTGGAAAAAAATAAATAACACTATTTTCTTTGTGCTGAAAAAACAGTACTTGGTCCTTCTAGACAAACATAAACATTTAAGATACATAAAAAATAAAAACACCCATATTCCTATTTTTTAGAGACAACCACTGTTAATACCTTGATGTATACCCTTCTAGACCTTTTTGTACTTACCTATTTACCTTTTAGGGTAATATTACATGAGATAGCTGCATAATATAGGTATGTATTTATATTGCTTTGTTTACGCAATCAAAAGCTCATACATATGCATATCTATCCATATATGTATCTCAATATATGGGGGTGGAGGGATACATATGGGGAGGAAACAAATTCCTTGTTGGCAAAGATATAACTGTTAATCTGATGATGCTGGTTTGGTCTCCGAGCATTGACCTTTTATGCTATCTAAGACTCTGATTCCAACTTCATTAATTCATTCATAATCTATTACATATCAGACTCTATACCAGGACCTTTACGTACATCATCTTTAATGCTCATGTGAGCCCTGTAAATTAGGTATTATAATCTCCACTTTACTTATGAAGAAACTAGGGCTCAGACAGACTAGATGCCCAAGTTTTCACAGCCAGTAAGTGGAAGAAGTGGGATTTAAACCCAAGTACATTTAACTTCAAAGGCTGTGCCTAAAGCAGTGCAGTGCTTTCCTTGCTGTAATAGAGGCATGTCCAGGGAGCTGTGGCATCTGGAGGAATGAAGGCACACTACATAGCCTGGTAAGCTCTGAGCCGGACGGTGGAGGGTACCTAAGACAACAGCAAGTGAGGAATGAGCAGGGTATGTGGGCTGCAGGAATGGGGCTAAGGCATGGAAGGGCACAGATGTTCCCAGAATATTCGACAAGAGGCCTGTGAGGTTGGTGTTGAGATGAGGCTGGACAAATAGGATCAGCACCCGATTGAAAAGGGCCTCTTCAGCCATCCCTGGAGCAAATGCTTTACCCTGTAGGCACAGTGGTGCAGCACGGTCACGTCAGTGTTTTAGAAAGTCGACGTAGGCAGAAGATTGCTGGGGAGCCAGAGGAGATCAGTTAGGCACGAGGCCAGATAAGAAAGTTTAAATTAAGTAATTGACTAGAGAGGAGGAGAAATGAATTTCCACAACATAGGAAGTAGAATAAACAGGACTTGGTAACTATTGAATCTGGTGTAAAAGGAGAGATGAATGGCATATAGTCAGGCTTAGGGAACTGGTAGATGGTAATGCCATTTACAGAAATCAGAAATGAGAGCAGGAAATGATTAGGAGAGAAGCGATGAGCCAAGTTTGGGATGTTTGAGTTCAAGGTCCCTGGGTCTCCCAGGGGAAGCGATCCATCAGACATGCCTGGCGTGGTGTGTGCTGAACACTAGGGCTTTGACCAGCCTTGGTCGTTCTGCCTCAGCATTGCTTCAGCCACACTGGCGTGTTGGGTAGGGGGTACTGAATTTTCCCTGCCTCTTTTGCAACTCCTTATGAGTCCACTGTCTCTTATTCCTGTAGAAATAAGTTGTAGGCTTTTGGCCCTTTTATTGTGACCCTTTTATTATTTATTATTACCAAGAGGAAGAAAACTTGTTTTGGTCATTCGTTTTTCAAGATTTCACACACCCTGACTGATTTTGGGGTAAAACACCTCTTTCAAATATTAAATCTGTTTAAGGTACTACAGATTCCTTCAAAGAGTTTAAGTCTCATCCCATTATTACCATGTTATTATCATTTACTTTTTAGAAAAAGCAATCAAGAGTTTATGATTCTTAAATGAAGCTGAGCTGAAGAAATATCAACTTTTATCTAATTATGAAAATTACATTTTCAACAGTAAAATGGTAAGTGTCAAAGTCCCAAATGTGGCATTTTCTGGAAAAGTTTCATGCTATTATAAAATCTTCAAATGAGCACAACTGAAAGAAACCTTAGAAATTATCTAATTACCATCTTCCCATGTTGCAGACTGGGTCAGCAAGGTCCAGAGGGGAAAAGTAACCACAGCAGGCCAGAGACAGAGACACGCTGAGAACTTGTCCTCCCAGCTGCTGATTTAGATGAATGTTGGGGATCTGTGTCCATGAATGTAAGTGACCCACATGCATGTCTTTCAGGTGGCTGCTTCTCTATCATGCTCTGTGCTTCTTCCTGTCGAAGGCTTCAGCCCACACCGTGGAGCTAAACAATATGTTTGGCCAGATCCAGTCGCCTGGTTATCCAGACTCCTATCCAAGTGATTCGGAAGTGACTTGGAATATCACTGTCCCAGATGGGTTTCGGATCAAGCTTTACTTCATGCATTTCAACTTGGAATCCTCCTACCTTTGTGAATATGACTATGTGAAGGTGAGATTCCCAATGTCCCCTAATTGGGCCAGGCTCTCTGCTGGGAGTTAGACAAGCCTAGATGAATTAGACACTGTCCTTACCCTCCCAGGGTGGCAGGTAGTGAGGGAGATACACAACATCACAATGTAATGAACAAAGGTCGTGGTGCTGTGCTAAGATGTCAAAGATGGGCGGGCAGAGCTAGAAAGGTCCATGAGGGAAACTGAGGCCAGTAGAGTGTGACTCAGCCAAACACATCCCTTCTTTCTTTCTGTTCCCAAATCCTTTAGTGATTCCACTAACCTCTGTTCCAGGGTCACCTTTAATTCACCAAGCAGGAAAGGGTGGAGACCTCAAAGTAAGCAGTAATTAGACAGAAACAGAGCCATAATTATGTCCAAAGTTGAAGCATTAGAAAGCATTGCCCAATTTCTCAAATAACAATCAAGTGTTTGGGAAGTGTAAGGTACACAGTAACAGACAGTAGAGGATGACGTTGGAAGGGTGGCCTGGAGGGAGACTCTTAAGGGCCTTGAATGTCGTGCCAGGGAGTTTGCATTTTATCAGCTAAGAGCATGGGCAGGGAGGAGAGAATCACTGTCAGAAGTGGATGTAAAAAATACATGGGGGAAAAGCAGGGGAGATTACATTACAACATCAAAACAATATACCCTGGAATGTAGAGAGAACAATGCAGTTCCATGGGTGGCAAGCTGTTCTCCTCTTAAAGTAGAGCTGAGAAAGGTCGGAGTATTTCTGAGAGATCAAGTTTACTAAAGTTGTATCTAGTTTAAAAAGATGTGGAGACCTAAGAACCTACTTTCTAAACTCTCTCTGGCTTCCTGGAAGAGGTTGTCATCAAGCAACTCTAGAGTGGGATTTATGTACTTTTAGTATTAATATTATTGTAGTTTCATTTTTCCACAGCCAATAATTCAATAACATTTAACCTTGTATTAACCAGAATATTTGCTCAACAGCAAAGAATTTAGTTTACAAGGTGCTTTTATACTTGTTAATTTCATTCAAACTTTAAAACAATCACATGTACTCACCATCAAATTGGTATTAACTGATCAACACCTATGTGCACATATAGTAGTAACGTTCATTGGGTGTCAGGCAGGTGGAAGTAGGGAGGAGGGGATGGTATATTCACACCTAATGGGTGCAGTGCGCACCATCTGGGAGATGGACACGCTTGAAGCTCTGACTCGGGTGGGGCAAAGGTAATATATGTAACCTAAACTTTCGTACCCCCACAATATGCTGAAATAAAAAAAAAATCATGAGATAGCAATCACTACCCCATTTTACAGGCAAAAAAACAGCCCCAGGAAGGTCAAGCAAATCACTCAAAGTTGCACATCTGGATGGATCAAGTTCTGAAACCCATGTCTTGTGACTTTGAGTCTCATGCTCTTTTGGCTACATCCAACAATCACTGAGCCCTGGATGGGAGGAGGCCACGTTAAGAAGGTGCCTTCCTCCCATCTTCAACCCATTTACATGAAGAGTGTTACCATTGTATTTGTTGGTTCTGCATGCAAAATCCCATTTATGATAGGTTTCTACACCTAAAAATTGTCCAAAATTGACATTTCAGAGCAGGGTTTCTGAATCTCGGCACTATTGACATTTTGAGCCAGATAATTCTTTGCTGAGAAAAGCTGTGTTGAGCATTGTAGGATTTTTAGCAGCATCCCTGGCTTCTATTTACTAGATGCCAATAGCAGCTCCCCCTCCAGTTGTGATAACCCAAACTGTCTCCCTCCAGATGTTGTTAATATCCCAGAACTACTGCTATATGGGGTGATGCCTCTCTTACAATGCCCTGTGCTAGGAACAATGGGAATATTAGGATACAAAGGATCTGATCTCTTACAAAGAGAGATGAACCTAGAAAAATAACCATTGCACAAGATACAAAATAGTAATGACAATAAAAGACTGACAAATAAAGAATGAGAAGAGGTATAACTGGTCCTCTAAGAGATGACATGGGTTAGTAATGTAAATTGACATACAATTTCTATAAATTCACTAAAATGGAGCCAACTTCTCAGGGTCACAAGGATCAACCAAGGGAGTATTCACTGAGACCCTAAGTATGTATCATCCTAAACTATTCTGACAAAATGATCAGTTATGACTTCCAGGATATAATCTAGCCTCTGCCAAAGCCAAACTTCAGGATAAAACAGAATATGGCTATGGAGCATTAGGTTAACATGGATTATGGATGTGGAGCATTAGGTTAAGATGGATTATGGATAGGTTAAGATGGATTATGGCTATGGAGCATTAGGTTAAGATGGATTATGGCTGTGGAGCATTAGGTTAAGATGGATTATGGATGTGGAGCATTAGGTTAAGATGGATTATGGATGTGGAGCATTAGGTTAAGATGGATTATGGATATGGAGCATTAGGTTAAGCAGAATCTCCCAGCTCATCCCCCAAACCAATGCTGATCATAAAATCATGGCATTCTGTAACATTTGGGTTGGAAAGTGGTCTTAACAAGAAGGAAAATGACCAAACATTGGTTTTATATGATAGTGAGTTCCATAGATTTAGGCAAACCTAGATAAGAACTTACTAACCATTTCTTTCTCCACTTTCAAACATGCCAACCATCTAGAAATTTTGTCAGTGCAAACACTCGCTTTTATTGGTAACTGAGGCTCAAGGCCACAGAAATTACAGAATTTTTTTTCCTTAGTTTTAGCAATGACTTCTCATAATTTCTCCATTTCTCCACCCAAGAATTGACTTCCAGCTTTATGGGCATTGAACAATTGTTTCTCACAAGTTTGACTCTTGTTTAGACAGAAGATATGTTTAATCTTGTTTGGACTCATTTATCAAGATGATACACACACAAGAAAGAATTTAACTCATTCCTTTGCTCCAAATAAATTGAATCTCCTGGCAAGGCAGATGAAGCAGCTGACATCTCTAGCATTTTGTAAGGGGGAAAAAATGATGAGGCATTTTCAAGGGCAAGAATAAAATCTGAAGACCACTTCTGACACTGAATTAGACACTGAAATATACTTCTAGCTAAAGCTTGATTTTTCCGGCTGGAGGATATTTTGGAAATTGATTGATGATTTCAATCCAGGGTGGTGAGACTCCTTCCTGAAACCCCAAGGAGATGGACCTGGGCCCTCTAGAAGGGGCAGCATGGTCCTGGGTTCTTGCTTGGGATCCAAGAAATGCCTTTTCTAGTCCTAGATCTGTCGCTAACTCCCCAAATGATCTAGATGGACAAGAAAATCTTATAACATCCTCTCTGCTCCCAAATTAGACAGGTGGCTTCTTTCTGGGCATAGCAAAGAAGTTGTCTACTTGAGGCAAGTCAGGGACTGAGCTGGCTATTGGAAGTGCCCTACAGATCTTGAATCTGTGAGTCAGATACATGTTTCCAATTCCTTTGGAAAAGGACATTATCATAGTGGAGGCAGGGAGACATATTTCTCGACTTGTGCTCGCACAGTTGTCTCTATTCTAGAATGGCACTGTGGTATCGACATTAGCCTCCTGCAGAGGTTCCAGTAGCCACGGGGGGTGACTGGGCCTCTCTTGGCAGGACACTGCAGCCATGCTGGCTGATGACTAGCGCTCACGTGGAGACAACCCCATGCCTTGCCTGCACACACCCTGCCAGTCTCCCTTCCAGAGTGAGAACTCCCAGCATATCAGGCTTCAGGGGCCCTCCGGAGACTTATCTAGTTTCAAGTTACTATTATTGTTGTTTTTCAAATATTTTCTGCCCAGTGAACGTTTTCTTATAACAAATCTTCAATTAGGCCCTATATAGAAAACACACAGAAGTGGAGCTGCTCTGGGTGAAGGTGGCTCTGCTCACTCACCCTCCCTGAAGTACCTTGAGGAATTATGGCTTGAATTTTGGTCAAGTTCCCATGGGGCAGAAGAGGGGACTGAAGGTTAGAGTTCAGGGACAGGATGACCACTCTGCCTCTGAAATCTCAAACCCAAAAGCCTTCCACACTTAGTTGAAACCCACTTACTTTTTCTAATTGCCTCCCCAACCTTAGCTCCCAGAATATGTGCTTTTTCTGGCTATTAATGGAAGAGAAAATCTTCCCTTTCCATCTGAATAAAAGCACGAGCATGCCATGTGATCCCCTCTTAAGTTAACATCCTTCTCCAAAACTCTGTTTTTTCATCTGTTCAATGAGAGGGTAGGAAGAGATGATTCCCTAAGGTCCCTTAAATTCCAGAATTCTAATCCCAATCCTATTTCCTGCCAGAATTTTCAAGATGACCCCACCAAACTCTCATTATCCTAGTCAGGATAATACCAAAAAACAGGAATAGTATGTTTATAACAGCCACTTCTCAAAGTTCTATGGCCACAAGCATACCAACCAGAGCTTGTAGTCTGCTGGGGATAACTTGGTGGCATGTCATTTGGACAGAACTTGTAAACACATCATGCCACCATTGCCCTTTACCAAGAAACTTTAAATATCTCTGATTTCCCTTTGGCAGGATAACAATCCCTATTTTGAGACTTTTTTGCTCTGTAGCTAAATTCCCCTGGCAGGCCTATATAGAAATCGGCTTTAAGAACCTTCTAGTTCACAAGAACCCTTTATAGCCCAGTCCAAGCCCACAAACTGGCCTTCCCAGCCAGGCCCATCACGATGATGGTGATGGAACTGCTGACACTGCACATTCGTAGCTTGAAGAAGAGCAGAACCCCAAGGCTGTGGTCCGTATGCTCACATTTATGAAAATTCCTCTCCAGCCTGATTTCCCGCAGTTCTTGGTCTTCAAGGCATGTATACATCTGCATAGCAGCATCTGCTTTCTTGGAATGTGGCTGCAGTGTGTGGATTCCTGCAGAGTGCATGGATGATGCATATGAATCACAACTAGTTAATGCTGCCAGCAAGAGGCAGAGCACAGATGCTAGTCAGGGAGCCAAGAGACCTGGGTTCTGGCTGTCTCTCTATACTAACTAACCTTGGGCAAGTGACTACTCC